CTCTTGGTTCACTTTATTTTCTCTTTTACTTCACTCTAACTCTCGAGGCGTGTTCACAAAAGTCAATCCAGGATTCAAAAATATTCTTTTGTTTTGTACAAGCCATCTCATTTTTCCTTAGTTTGGTTTATATTAGCCGAAGCTCTCCACTTATAATTTCTTGTTTGACATAACGCATTCTCATTCTCTGCCCATGATTTTTCTCATCTTGGATTTTCCATATAAAATGTGAATGTTCTTTCTTTTAATTATTTCACTATTCATTACATTGATACTATAATACTTACTAATGAATAAGAAAGCCTGCCAAATCAAAAAAAAAGCAGAAGAGGAGAAAAGAGAAGAAAAAGAGAGCAAACACAAATTTTAGATGAGTTGGCAAATTGGCCTTTGTCTATATCAAGGGAATGGGATCTTGCACTGTTTAAGGAGGAAGACAGTTTGCTAGCGCTACTCTCTCTCTCTCTGAGCGCAGGATACAAAAGAGCAAATCTGGTAGGGCTTGAATAGAGATATAGTTGAAAACGCAGTGAAATAATATTTTCATTCTACCCTTAATGATCCAACATGCGCAAAAATATAATCTTTTCATTCTACCCTTAATGATCCAACATGCGCAAAACTAAGCATAGGAAGGCAATGCCAAAGCTTTGCGAACTAAGAATAGGAAGGCAATGCCAAAGCTTTGCGTTTCTTTGATGAATCAACTCAAATATGCATCACGCACACTCTTTGCTCGCACTAAATTGTTTCCACGACAACTTCAAGTTACTGCCCATCTCTGTCAGCAGAGAGTAGACTATTCTCTTTTTTGGGTTGCAACCTAACCAATTATCCTCCCTCAAACTCTCATCTGTGACATTATCCAGTTCAACCAAGCTCATTCCAGCACCCTTCTGCAAGCCCCTCTTTTCCATCATCACTCTAACCCTTTCCACCTCTTCCCACTTACCCTCAGCCGCCCATATATTGGACAGCAAGATATAAGGCCCAACCTCTTCAGGCATCATTTCTATTAGTTTTCTCCCGACAAACTTCCCAATCTCCCAATTAGAATGTGTCCAGCAAGACGACATCAATGAACCCCATAATGCCTTCAGTGGTTTTTTTGTCAAATCCTTCACAAAATCCGCGTTGTCTTTCAGCAAACCGTTTCGGCCGAGAAGATCCACCATGCATCCAACATGCTCAACTGTAGGCTTAATGTTATAAACACGAATCATATGATCAAAACACCACCATCCCTCAAGCACAGAGCCTGACTGAGAACAAGCACTGAGAATGCATACAAAAGTTGATCCATTTGGCTTTGAGCCACACTTCTCCATCTCCAGCAACAGCTCAAGCGCAGCATCAGTTTGGCCATGTAGTCCATAGCCCATTATCATTGCATTCCATGACACTGTGCCTCTTTCAGGCATTTGATCAAAGACTTCTTTTGCTGACTTGATTGCACCACACTTGGCATACATTGTTAGAAGAGCAGTCCATAGGAGCACATCATGTTCAATGGACACCTCTCTGATAAGAGAATGTATCCATTTACCTCTGTCAAGCTGACCAAGATTAGCACAAGCGGTCAGAACGCTAACAAATGTGGCTTTGTTCGGCCTCACATTTCTACCACAAATCATCGCATCAAACAGATCTAGGCACTCTCTGTAATCCTTAACGCGTGCATAAAGCGCCAGCAACACATTCCATGAGACCAAGTTCTTCACAGGCATACTGTCGAAGAGCTCCCTTGCAATAGAAACCTCTCCAATCCTGGCATATCCATCGATCATCGAATTCCACGACACAACATCCCGCTCAGGCATCATCCAAAAGAGCTCCTTGGCACCATCCATGTCACCTGCACTGACATATCCGGTAATCATGGTGTTCCAGCTTACTACATCCCGATCGCGGATATCGTCGAACACCTTGCGCGCATCAGGGATCCTCCCGTTCTTGACATAGCCATTGATCATTGAATTGTAAGTGACGGTATCACAATCAATATTATTTGGAAACGTAAAAATCTTTTCAGCGGCGACAATGTCGCCTAAGGAAGCATACATGTGGATGAGGGAGTTGCGTACGAAAACGTCGGCATCAAAGCCGAGCTTGGCTATGCTGGCATGTGTCGTTTTACACTCATAAGGCAGATTGAGAAAACAGAAAATTTTTATAAGGAGAGGGAATGTGAAATGGTTAGGAGCAACGGCAGAGGGAAGAACAAGGCGGCGATAGAAGGTGAAGGCGGCGGTGGGGAGACCAGCGGTGAAGAGGGAACGGAGGAGAATGTTGGCGGCGAAGGCGTCTGGTTGGGGAAGGACGAAGAAGAGAGTGACGGCGAGGGGAAGGGAGGAGGGAAGTGAGGAGAGGGCGAGAAGGGTACGGCCGGCGGCGAAGGGGTTGAATAAGAGGCCGGAGACGACAAGCTGGGCGAGGATTTGGGTGAGAGCGGATGAGTTGTGCTGGAAGCGGTAGAAGTTGAGAGCGCGTAGAAGTGGGTGGCGAAGATTTACGGTCTGGGAAGATGGATGAGGAGAAAAATTGTTGTTTGCAAGCGTCGCAGGTGGGTGCAGTGCCGCCGGAGATGACTGGAGGCGAGAGAAGGGGGTTACTGTGTGGTTTTGGTGGCTAGAGGTTGCGTTCGAGATGAGGGGGACTGTGGTGGTCATTTGGTTGGGTTTGAGCGGCGCGGCGGCTTCCTCATTTTCAAGGGGACATCTGAACGCTTCCCGCTCGATAGAACATCATCCCAAGTTAGGCTTGGATTGACTAGTCAGTGAACGTCAAATGTCGAACCTCCTGCAAATGAAGTCTTAAAATACTGTGTTTGCTTGAAGAATGCAAATAAAAACATGAAATTTCATATTTATGGTAAGGTATTTATTGATTTCTATTGTTACATGTTAGTAATATGTTAGTGACTGAACGAACAATCAGCTTGGTTCAATACATATTAGGAATTTCTATAAAGATTGCTGATGACTATAACAGAGAATGAGATAGAGCATGCACGTTCTGAGAAAAATAAACTAAATTGTTGGATTTGAATCTAAGATTGCTGATGACTATAAGAGACGTTTTGAGAAAAATAAACTAAATTGTTGGATTTGAATCTATCCTTGGATCACGCTTGAAGGGATTAGAGCGTTGGTAAATAATCTTGTGTGTATATAAATTTTGTGGGCATATATATACATACCACCCAATTTTTATGTATTTACATATCTAGCACCTAAACTTTACTTTCTTACATTTATAACATCCAAATCTTTGATAAATATTATTACTTTAACTTTTTAAAAGTGAAATACATGCATAGGAAAGCTGACGTGTATAAAAATTGAACTTTGGGTGTTAGATATGTAAATTCATAGGAATTGAGAGTGAAATACATGCATAGGAAAGCTGACGTGTATACAAATTGAACTTTATGAGTTAGGTATGTAAATTCATAGGAATTGAGTGGTATATATATATATATATATATCCAAATTGAACTTTGAGTGATATATATATATAGGGGAATTAACATACATAGCACCCAATTTTTATGCATTTATTTATCTCACACCTAAATTTTAAATTTAATATGATAAGCCTCTTTTCCTATGTATAAAAAGATAGGAATAGTATAATCCAGTTTTTCATATATAGATTAGGTTGCTTAACATGTGAAAATCAAAATTTAAGCGAGAGATGAGTAAATGTATAAGAATTGTGTGTAAATTTCCGTTTTTTTTTTATCGTCAATCGCTATAAAAACAATCCAGGCCGCCCAAATTCGCTAAACAAACACTGGCACCATAGGGAATTCTGCTATGGGATTTGTTTCCGGCGCCGTGGACTCCATCATCCTGCTTTTCTCCGCGGTGCTGCTTCTGGCGGTGCCGCTGATCGACGCTCAAAGCTGCTTTCCTGCTTGGTTCTTCCATCCGGCGTTGCTCGATCTCAGGCGCTGGTACATCGACGAGTTCGGTGACTACTTGTTGAAAGAGAAGCCTCACTTCTTGATCGGCCTAACTTGGATTGAGATCGTCTTCATCTGGCCTCTCTCAATCGCCAATGTATATGGGATCCTTGCCCGCCGGCCCTGGGTCGCCACAACCTCACTCATGGTGGGAGTCTCTATCGCCACTTCTATGGTATGTGGCTGATTTTGTTTTTGATAGAAAGTCTTAATCTTGGTGGTGATTGAGTGTGCGAGAGGAGTGGTGGGGAAGTGAATTGCACCGGAAAGGGTAGAGGAATAGAAGGTGAAGATTTAGGGGTTTTCTTACTGGTTTGTTGTTGATGGTTGCTCCGTTGGGAAGATCTTATTTTGTTTGAGCGATTCTGTTGTAGGTTCTGTTTGGCTGCCGGTAGGATTTTGTAAAATAGGATTTAGTTTCTCCTCTGAGAGTTGAAATAACTAAACACATCAACAAAAAAACCTTCTTTTAGATCCAACAGCATTGTTGCATGATGAATGCATAGCAGATTTGAAAGAAGGTTTGCTGTTGATTTATAAAATTTACTCAAAGAGGAAATATGTTAAAAGGTACCAAATGCATGTCATGATATTTTGCTTCTAATTGTAAATATGTAATCTTCATTGCCTTAAGCCGTGAACTTATTGAAGGAAAAGTAGAGAAAATCTTATAACTATAAAGAGAGAGTGGATTTTGGAGCTCATAGAGCAAACTTTATCCATCGGGCCAATTGAAAAAGTAGTTTGGATCAAGGTAGACTATTGTTATCTTACTTTAGATTTGAATATCATCATCCTTTTTTTTTAAATTTCAGTTTTTTGTTTGGTTGGATTTTAAAGGAAGTTAAATCTATGAAAACTTATAGGCTTTTGATCACGTAAATTTTTATGTAGTAGAATCGACTGTACTGATCATATTGACATATAAAATTAAATTTTTACCATATATTTGGTCTAATTTTAATGGGTATATTGAACTCAATTAAATTTTTTGTAGAACCAAAAAAATTTTTAAGTATTATTCCGGATATTGCATATGAATGATTTTGTGAATTATGATGGTCAAATTGTGTATATCAATTTTTCTTGCAACTTCTATTTGTTGTACTTTTAACTTTTGCAAATTATTGAACATGTTTGATGATATTCATCTGGGCTGAAATTGTTAATATCTCATTGGCTATGCATCAAAACTATATGTTCATGAAGTTAAAGAGGGGGGGGGGGGGGGG